ACTCGACAGTCTATTCTTGTTCTTAGAAATGAAGGCTATTCCATGCGAGAAATTGGTAAGAAAGTGAAGATTTCCTACAACGGTGTGTACTACTACCTTCAGCACAAGCAGGCTACTGCAGGTACTATTTAATGAAGATGCCAGTTGGGGACCTGTGAGGCATCTGTTTCTCAAACTAGAGACTCTAATGTATTTATCTTCTTGCTCAGTTGTGCAACGCGGCCTCCCACTTCTTTTTCTACTCTGGTCAGAGCCTGTTTGTGCTGTCCTCTGAAGGGAGTAGCCTTCTGAGCCAATGCAACGCGGCCTCCCACTTCTTTTTCTACTCTGGTCAGAGCCTGTTTGTGCTGTCCTCTGAAGGGAGTAGCCTTCTGAGCCAATGAGCAAACACATTGTACCATTAGAACACTGGAGTGATAGTTGCTGGAAATGGGCCTCTATACACCTATGTAGATATTGCACCAAAAACCAGACATTTGCAGCTAGAATAGTCATTTACCACATTAGCAATGTATAGAGCATATTTCTTTAAAGTTAAGACTAGTTTAAAGTTATCTTCATTGAAATGTACAGTACTTTTCCTTCATAAATAAGGACATTTCAGTGTGACCCCAAACTTTTGAACGGTATTGTATATTCTGATGAAGGAGCAAATTTAGAACACCGTAAATTCTAACTACTATTTCTAGTGTTGCACCGATACTGATACCAGGCCTCGATACTGCACTAAAATGGTGGTATCGGTGAGTAACAACAAATAGGGCACCGATACCATTTTCAGAGCCAAAAATATATTCAACTAATGTCACCCATTTCAGCTAGGCAATAATAATTTCTTTCTTTTTTTTTTTTTTTTATATTGCCCTGTCTGGCAATGTGGCAATAAGAATAATTGTCTTGATGCCAAAAAGAGCCCAACAGATTTTACTTTCACACGTGGAGCAGTACGGCTATCGCCATAGTGTTCCGCTTCGTTTATGCATATATATTGCTTTATTATAAATCATGCAGGGAGTTTTACAGATTATATGGACACTGCAATGTAAGTTGAACGGGAAAGGAAAAACAGAAAAAAAGGAGAAAAGAAGAAAAGAAGAAAGAGGAGATAAAAAGGGGATAATGATAAAACATTTTCCATCTGCTTCATCACCTGCAAACTAAGTGATGTAAAAAGAACAGCACAACCAACAGACATGGTATGAGACTTACAATAAGTAACATCTGGATACTATCGCTGAAATATAAGTAGTATTATTTAATTTGAGATGTATTCTGTGTTACCTGAACATAAGAATATGGGCTTTAATAATTTCTACTGGATTCACTTTGTATCAGTCTTTTTCCTGCTTCACAAAGGTAGGCAGCAGCTTGACAAAGACATGATGGCAATTATTTTACATCCAAGTAGTATGCAGTTCTTCATATATACACACACACATCAATTTCAAACAGATGGTATCGTTATGGTTTCGGTGTTGGCCAATACTGCACAGCCAGGTATCGGGTATCGCTATTGGGGCCAATAAGTGGCATCAGCGCAACACTAACTATTTCCATAAACCCATGAAATTTGTCTGACTTTTAGCTTGTAGATGTCTGAAAAGTTTCAGGTGACTTCACTTCTCAATGAGATCAAAGTCTGCTCTTTCACTCTGCCCAGGACTTTACATGTTTCAGCTTTCAGACACTCCTTAATGGATTTTACCTTCAGAGACATGATAGATTTCATGGCAGAGCCTGCAGTGGTGAGCTGGTCCTCCATCAGAGAAGTCCCCAACAATGACACTTCCACCTCTTTGTTTTACAGTGTGTATCGAGATCTCTTGCCTGTATCATGTATTTTGTTCATGCCAAATACATTTAGCACAGTGATGCAGCCCTCTTTTCATACACACAGAAGGTGAAGGACGAGGAGCATTCTGTATTCAGAATCAACCTTAGATTCATTTGTCCAAAGAACATTATTCCACTTGTGCTGGTCTCTATTCTGTAATCCATGTTCTTCCCAGAAAGCAAATGTTTTCTCTTTGAACACGTTCCACGAAAGTTAAACTGGTGCAGTCTTTGTAGGATTTTACAGGCATGCATGTTCATATCAACAGTAGGAAGGATTTTTTTTTAGGTAAATTCCTTACCAGACTTACAAGTTGAAACAATCTTTGTTAAACTTCAAACCTTTGTGCTCACTCTCAATTCGACTTTCATGAGCAGACTCAACTGGAAGTTAATGTTCAAACTAAGCAAACAACATTTTAAAAAACAGAGTAGACAATTTTTGTACCTGTGGGTTATTTCAACCATTGGATTTATTTTACCAGATTTTTTTTTTATTGTTTTTACTTTTAGGATGAACAGTATAGACACAAAATACAAAGAAATGTTATATTACTTGAATGAATTTTGAAATTACACTTTAGAAACTTTAGAAAAACATAGGTTTCAATGGATTTTCCTAGTTTCTTTCAGATTACTATATATATTAGTTATTGTAATAGATAAATTCAATGAATTAAATTTAAGTTTTAAGTTAAATACTTAAACCACAGTCTATCCAACTATATAGATGCCATATTATCGTATTATGCTTATCTTAAAAAAATAATCAAATAATGAAAGAAAAAAAGCTTTTATCAACTGCCTAAAAACTTTCCACTTCTCACATTACAGCCACAAACCTAAATGTAGCATGTAATTGTGGCAGTGAAGAAATATATATTTGCCATTTAAAATCAGTTTTAAGGGGATGATACATTTTATTTAGCCCCCTTAATTCTGACCTTCCTAAATGTCAAGGACTGATATTCTAGACCGGAGGTCTTCTACAGAGGTGCTGCATGGGGTCGCTAAAGTTTTGGTTGATTAGACTTTCTTTTTAAATTCCCCCCTGCCTTTTTTCCGCTAATTGAAATGTCTTTAAATACACATTAACATGAATTCATTCATCAATGCACACATTCAGCGACACACAGGAGCTCTTTCAAGAGGGGCACCGTTTCATTCACAACACCTGTCCCATCAAACAGGAATCAGAACCAGAAATACCTTAATAATCCCAGGGCGGAATTTCTTTCATTATATTACTCCATCTGTAATAGAGTGACTGCAGGACGAGTTTGATATAACCCAATTTCATACTATATATAATTAGGGGGTCCCTGCTCCATCTCGCCATCAGTTTTGGGGTCTTTGGCCTGGAAACCGTTGAAGACCCCTGTTCCACGCCAAGGTGCAGAAGAATGCTCAAAAGCAGTGCATTGAATTTAATGAAGATAATGGAAAAAAAAAAAATACAGAAAAATAAAGGGTATGGAGACAAGAAAAACCAGTGACAATGATGGAGAAAACAGGTGCGGGCTATGAGGAGACACAGGAGAACAGAATCTACTTGACTGACGGCTCATAGAGAGGATTAACAGGGTCAGACAGGGAGGAACACAAGGAAAAAATTAAGAACACAGAATAATTAAGATAGGAAACTGTAGCAGGACCAAATGGGTACAGTAAAAAAAAAAAGCTTAAAAAAAAAAAAAAAAAAAAAAAAACATATAACAGAATATGAACATCAAAAACAATAAGGAAAATCCTGAAAAAAAAACACAACATGAAAAATATAAACTATCACATACATATCATGATATTAAATAGAATCCATTACAGCCACTTGCCTTAATCTTAGCATAAATCCTGCTGTTCTGTCCAGCTGTTCTCAGAGGTCCGTTAAAGAACATTAGAGAACAAACTGCCTCATGGAAAGTAAGTCATGACAAGGTCAGAGAGCAATTAATGGATAGATTTCAGATGCTGTTTTTTTTTAAACAAAAAAACAAGCTTTCAATGATCTC